TTGTCCACTCGACGTCCAAATCCAATGCAAGAGACAATCGAGATCGAGTATCGTTCGATTGCTTTGACATAGTTTTCCGGCGTTAACAACAAATCTCGCAGTAGAATACGAATTTCAGATTCTTGAAATGGCCGGTAAGAGCGCACCGCTTGAGAGCCCGTGGCATTATGAGTAAGCCGGCGATGATATCGCCAGCGATCGTTGTGCGGTAGGCAGACTTGATCGTAGTCGGTAGCATTCCGAGAGTCCCCAAGCATGACCATATGTGGCCGAGAAGAATAGATATTTGCCCTTTTGTCGAGTAAATCGGAGATGGACCATATGTCGTTGCAGATGATATTTGGCCTGTGACCGTGCCAGATTGTAACCATCGAACTCTTATATTGCTCGCTTAAATCCGCCATGTAGAGCCAGGGCCGCGGCAGCCTGATCTGGTAGTGATTACCAACAAGTGGCCATGGAAATGGTCCCGGTGGAAGCCTCCGTCGTTGCTTCAGAACTCGGCAATAATCGAGCAGTACGTAGGTCAGTCCCAATGCGAAAGGGAGAGCAAGCAGTGAAATAATAACTTGCAAGATCGACCCATGAGTGAAGCGGCTCAGAATACCAGTGCTTGCGAGATTAGTTTCCAACTTCATGGTCAAGGTTTATTGCAAAATTGAGGGCGAGTTGGTAGAAGACTACAGCCTTTTTTTAGTCGTCGGAGCCTCTGCGCCAGGATATATGCTGGGAGAGGGGGCATATTGCACTTGGGCTATTTGCCGATCGGAGTGTCACAGATCCGCAAAACCAGTCGACAACGAATCTTTGTCAATAGTCAAAATTCAAAGACCTGCATGAGTCAATCCACATCGATTGACACTGAGCACTTTCGAGCGTCCCCCACATTGCAGCCCACCATGTTCTGAAGTGGGTTGACAAGGCTGATGTGGGGGTGGGTCTCGAGCCTTTGTAACGCCCCACACTCTATCAACTCTTGGACACTACCGCCACATTACCTCGGGTCTCTTTCCTGGCACTCAATTTTCGGGACCGGTGGATCATGTTGTGGCTTAGATCGTCGAGTGTGGGTATTTGCTTACCACGGATACTGCATTGAGCAGTTTTACCTGTATGATAATGAAGTGGCATAAAGGAGATTTAAATTGTTGGTCGTACATGTGTTATAGGTTCCTTTACTCGGTAGCAATGAGCAGGTCAGCTAGTCTGCCAGAACACTAGCCGACAAGATCGTAAGGTTCGTTCTGCCTCATTGAAAGACTCACGAGATAAGCCTGGGTTAGCAGGAGCAAGGGGGTTCACGTTGCCCGATTCAAACACGTTAAGCATTTACATAGAACTTAGACTTTCCAACTTTCTTTCTCTCTGTAGCCAGGTGATAGCCGCATATACAGTATACAGTATACCTGTAAAAGCCGCTGAGAGTCTTGCGTCTGGGCAATTTTGAACTTATTGGACCCCTTCAATCATTGACCCAACATTTTTTTCCTTAGCAGTCTTCAGAGATATTCGTTCGGGATGGTTTTGCTTCTACTGCTCATCCAACGCCGGTTCTCGAGCCTGCCCAGTGTGCTTGTGTCCATGTGTTGTCCCTTCCTTGCTGAAAATACCTTCCCTCTCCATGTGAATCGCAGTATGGTTTGTCAAGTAAATGGAAGGATCCCGAATGAAGCATCCAATAATGATGGCGATCACTCCGAAAGGGATCGTGCTGTAGAAGACCATACGGAAGGCCTTAGCGTAGACAGACCGGGCTGCGGTGATAGCTGCCTCCTGCACGGTAAGCGTAGCTCCCGGAATACCTGCAAAGGCCCCAGGAACGCCGACCACGGTCTGGATGGTTGCTGGGATTAGTAGATCGAGACCTGCAGGAGTAAAGCCTTCTCCAACAGCTGCGGCCGCTATGGCAGGGCCGAGATCCTGGCCTACCACGCTCTGAAGAATCGTATTGAAGATGGCGTTTCCCACACTTCCTCCCATGCTTCGAAACGTCCCTATCAGGCCAGTCGCCAGGCCTAGATACTTCAATGGAATGTTGAGACCTGCAACAACGTAGCAAGCGAGTACGACTAATGCAAAAGGTCCCACCGCAAAAGCCTGAAGTGCGGCCCAGCCGATCTTGTTCTGCGGAATAACGGCGGCCAGGCAGGCGATGAAGATTGTTTGGATGACCAGGGAAACCAGGATTTGCGCCTTCAAATGTTTGATCTTTCCCATGAAGCTTGTTGCGACGGCACCAAATAGCAGCTATTCTCAGCATTAACGCTTTCCCATGTTTGGTTTTTGGTATAGAGTGTCAAACACACCTGAACAATCCCATTTGGCAGGGCAATGTATCCGATCTCTATCGGATCACTTGTGAAGATATATAAAGAAGCCTGTGGGAGTAGTGCCATCATGGAATAGAATGTCATCCCTGAGATCAGTCAGTACAAGGGATTAGATGAAAATAGACTCCTTCCTACCAGCCACAAAGACGATGCCGAGCAACATTGTAAAATCTCGCAGTTTCCTGAAGACCACAAGCGGAAATAGTGGTCTTTTCGCCAATGTAAAGTCGTACGCAAAGCAAGCTACCAAGCAACAGAAGCCAGCAATGATCGGAACAATCACCGAAGCACTTCGCCATGGATGATTCGCCTGGCCAGCCCAGGTCAAGCCAATGAGGAAGGTTACTAAACCAGCCGAGTAAAGTGCGAGTCCAACAAAGTCTAACTCTTTGACTTCTTGCCAGCGAGTCTTTTCGATGTCGAATTGTGGTCTTTTGGGAGGCCAATAGAACAGCAGAGTGCCCAATGTGCTGACCACAGCAAAGATCAGCCCGATGTAATAACACCATCTCCATCCCAGTGATGTGTGCAAATTCAACTCGGTTGCAATAAGGACATTGGCACACCATGGAACGTTGATGGCGTATTCGGTGAGTGCCAGACCTGTTCCACTTATTTTTTTTTGAATCTTAGCATCATGCACACAAGGAGCAGGAACCTACCAAGAACTTACCGCCATTTATTGGGAAGCAATTCCGAAATACCAGCATAGCTCACGAAGATAATACCACAGCCAAAGCCGAGAAACGTTGAGGCAACAATGATGGTGCTCACATCTTGTGCCGTTGCAGCCACAACCTGTTATTTGTGATTAGCCTCGCAAACTCTCGAAGTATCTAGTGCAGAAACAAGGGGCGAGGCGCCTTTTACATACCGAGCCGACGACGCAGAAAATTTGGCCAGACAGGATCGTCCATCTCCTTCCAAACACATCACTCAAGCCCCCCGCCATTGAGAAGGACACGGAAGATGCGATGGACCATCCACCTACCAGCCATGTAATCTTGGTGGTGTCTCCAAGGTCCGTGCCGATTGGTATGATTATGCCAGTTGCAAGAGAAAAGCCACAGGAGATGGGGCAAATGTACGACATTGCCAAGGACTGTCACAGCAAGTCAACTTTCAGGAAGATCTACCAATTAGATGAATGTCTAGGCCACATACAACGACCGCTAGTATCGTCGACAGAGACAACTTTTCCGCATGTTCAGGGTTGTTCTCGAGAGCTGCTCGGTGAGGGTCAATGAAATCCAGAGGAACGTCCTCAACATGCTGTTGGTGCAAATTCGCAGACGCCTTTTCAAGTTCACTCGCACTCGTCTTCGAATCAGCTTCCATTGTGGAAAGATGTTCGCCAGCGTCTTCCGTTTGTAGGGGGAGCTCCTTCGCAGACGGACAGGCAGGGGTGGGAGGCGCAAGATATTTATTTTCGGGCTCCTGTTTGTCTAACTAGGATTCTGTCTAAGACATCAACAAGGCATTATGTGGTTAACTTCGATCGTTTGGCTCTAAGTATGGTAGCCATCTAGAGAAAACGTGCCCCCACATGGTCGATGGCCGTGATATTAGCGAGACGCGTGTGAAAGAGGAGTGGCTTGGCCAATGGTAAGAGTCCATTTTGCCCTGTGCCACGAGGAGCAACTGGTCCCAGGTCAAGATAAGGGAATTACCAGAGTTTTAGTTCCCGTATAAAAGAAGCGGACTTAAATCAATCACCGCATCTCCTCAATCTGAATCTGGAGTATGTGAGCAATCCGGGGTCGTTGCTAACTTGCGGTCAGATATTCTGGGGCCCCCACATAAAAAAAGCGTTTGACAGAATCACTGGGCAAATCTCGGGTGTCGGTTGATCCCCCCACTCCTACTACTGATATCTCCAGCGGTAACGCTGGGTAGAGTGGATATTTCCCTCTATTAACCAACCAACCTATTGCTAGACTCCTGGCCATTTCAATACTCTTCTCCTCTTGACTTCACAGAGACACATGCTCAACAAAGTCTTTGACCCCAACCCGGTCCTTTGACTACTTCTTCCCTTGTTCACTGGCCAGTTATGACAGCTGTCGCACCTGGCGATATAGTAAGAATTGGACTGAATCAGACAAACTATGTTTATGTGGTTCTTCACGTGCTCTGGGTTGTGAAGATGGCGTATCCACCATTTTTCGCCGACGTCTGGAACATGGTTCCTCACGAGCGGCTGAGGCCTCGCTAGCCCCTCAATCGTGTGAGTTTACTCCCTACGCATGAACAGGCTTGCTTCATTTCGGCTCCTGGCGCCGACTCCTGAACTCCAAGTTGTCTAGTTCGCTAGACAGCTTAACACGAGCTGCTCATATACCAGACAAGGCCAAGGTCTGCAGACACCACTTTCACACCTTCAGTAGGGGCAGGCACCGAGCAAGCCTACCTTCACTTCATACAGTTCAAGCTAAGATGACCCTGTAGCCCCACTCCGCAGAATCCAGATCAGCGTCGGAGTCACTGGATTTCAATTACTATTTCCTTGGGCCTGCCTGCTTCCTCCGATCACGGTCTCTGAATAAGTGGCCTGTGTCGAAGGTGGACTTACATCCGGCCAAAATCGCGACCAGAGCGGGTTCCACCATGTAGTCAGACCTCAAACACTCCTCCAAATGCCGTCCACAACGGAAGAAAATTGTTGTAGCAATGACGGGTGCTACCTGTGCCATCCTCGGAATCAAGACATTAATTGCTTCACATCAGCTCAACGTCGAAACTCAGCTCATCAACAGTCAATGGGGACAAAAGACAATCAAATACGAGACCGATTACGATGCTGCCGACGTTCGCGCACTGGCAGACCATATCTACAGTATTCACGGCCAGGCTTCTCTATTGGCAAGCGGGCCATTTCGTGCTGATGGCATGGCCATCCTATCGTGCAGAATGAAAACTCTCGCAGGGATCAGCGCTGGCTATTGCGACGATATGAAAGCCAGAGTTGCAGACCTTACTCTCAAAGAACCATAGCAATTTGTTCTGGTGGTGCGTGAAGCTCCTTTGGGCAATATTCGCCAGCGAAACATGCTCTCCGTCACTGAAAGTGGTGCAATTATTTTCCCGCTTGTCCCGGTATTCTACCCCCGCCCGGCCAGCATTGACGACATTGTCAATCAGAGCGTTGGGAGGGTGCTAGATATGTTTTGTCTGTACGTAGGAAACTTCAAACATTGGTCTGGCTTCTCCTGATCAAGGTTATGGTCAACCAAAGCATGGCATGAGATTGTGACGTCCGATGCCCGTAAGAAGATAAAGATCTTGAGAATCCTATAGATCCGCGGGCCGGCAACCTTGAGGCCTATCTCTGTATCCATAGTATTTCCGAATTGGTGACCTACGACTTGCAGGAAGAAAGGTGGTTTAGCATGGATCTATAAAGTGCTTCGTTTCAAAAGAGGTTCGAAGCGGTGTGAAAACCTAGCAAGGCATTTACTAGAGATCTCTTGCGAACCGCTGGAGGAATCCGTTGCGTGAGGCTTGATTCCTTTATCTGGCTTGCACACACAAAGAACCAATAATGAGTGGGATGGGCAATGGCGACCAAATCTTTGAGTCTGACCTAAGACAATCATCCTTGATGAGATCTATTATTGTAACCAATTCAAGCTTAGGGACCCGTCCCTCATCCAGGCAAGATGGCACCCCATGAATACATCTCGTCAAGGGACTGCGGTGCTGTGTAATGATAATCAGGCCCGTAGCCCGAGGCTACGCGACCCACGCAGCGGTCCAACCTACAGCGGACCCGCGTCGCTGGTGTAGCTCGCTGGCAGGATCTAACCGATCGTGGATGGCATTTTAATTTTTACGATACCTTCTATATCCGCGACAGAATGGTTCGGTAAGCAGCTTTCTCCGCTGATTGGCTCCAGCTACAAACCGTCTTAGGTAGGCACATCTGTGTGGACTCTCTAGTATGTCTAGCCCGTGCTTCTGACGGTGAGAGCCTGATTTTTTGCCACGGGGAAGACTGAGGTGACAGCGAAGTAAATTTGGGGGGTGAGCCTTGGCCAAGAGTGGACTTGGGAGCCCCCCGTCCATTGTTTAGCTGATGTTCATTATGATTTCGGCGGTGTATGGAAAGTACACGTCTATCTACCTTTATTATCACTTTATCCCGTCAACTTACCAAAGTTCTCACCTGGTGCGAGGTCTTCGCCCAGTAAAGCTGTTGAGTTGCCCTGCCTGGCAGCCTTTCAGACTCCACGACGAACAACGCCTTTTCTTGTAAAATATGCGACAAGGGATATGGGAGAGACGACCACTTGCAAAAGCCACTTGGACACCACAGTTCTATCCGTCCCTTCAAATACCATCAGGGTGGAAAGTCTTACCAACGCAGAGACGTCCTGACTCGTCATTACCAGAATGGACTCCACCAAAACCAAAATGCGACTCCAGCGAGAAAGTCCAACAGAAGGTCATGCGACCGATGCGTAAAACAGAAGAAGGCGTGCAATAACTCCCATCCGTGCGGCAGCTGCATAGCCTAAAAAGTGGCCCGCACCTATCCTCCAGAGTTAAGCCTTCCCCGTCGTCAGGTCAGTTTTGGCGATTTCCGACACCGAGCTTGATTTTCCTGATAGTCTACGGTCTCAACATCCCCAACCCGGTTCGGGTGCTTTAGTGGTCCCTGTAGAGGGTCTCGGCCACTGTCAGCTTGCGCAGAAGGATCATTCATCTGAGTTGCCGCAACATAACATGTGCGAGGAAAGCTCAGAACTCGAAGGTTTCGCTGCAAACTCAACGAACCTCGAGCTGGATTCGACGTGGCAGAACGGGTGGCTCAGTAACCTTGACAGTACCTCGACATTGATAACTAACCGTGACCCAGCCCTCCACTTCCAGTTCCTGATTCGTTTTGCGAAGAACCGAGGCCTTGCAGACACATTTGAGATTGGTAAATTTGCTCCGGCTGCTCGACAATCAATTTGCGGTCGTCAGAATGTTAAAGCACGGGATGACGGCCTCGGGTTATCCAAGGGACAGGCCGCATCAGAGGCCAGCTCAACAGAACTGAGCCAGCTTTCACAAGATCGGACACTCGTAATTCCGTTTTCAACTGGGGATGCAAACCCGAGAACTTTGTGCAATGGCTCGCTTCTGATGAAGACTATGGAAATATGTAATGGACTCAAAACGACACTGATGAACAAATCAGTGGGTTCGGCGTTGTCAATGGAATGGTCCCCGCTGACCAAGGCCATGGCCCAGCAGTTTTTCGGCCCCTCGAATCTGAGAGCTTTCATGCAGAGATATTGGACATTGTGACATCCCCACTGGCCTTGTATACATAGGTCTACTTTTTGTTACCATACAACTGCAAGCACACTTCTAGCACCTCTTGTTCTGATTGGGGCTAGTTTATCATCGCACAGCTATGATCGTGGCAATGCTACATCTGGTTCGACGTGGTTGAGGAGTGGGTATTCAACGATCCACACGTGTCGTCGGCGGCGACCGGCCGGGACGATCAGCATCTCTTCGAGAAGGACGAAGTCGGAAAGATTCAAGCTCTTCAATCCACCTATGCGGTTTTCATCTACCAATATTGGCAGGGTCGAGAATCTGCGAAGGCAAGGGTCTGCCGAGTTCGATTTAATGTGCTGGTCGGGGTAAGCACCGAGGAAATGCCTTATTGTCGGAAGTCGTCTCAACCACTAGCTGACCCTGACAACTGACAGATCACGAAAGACATTGGCGCCGGCAAAGCACAACATGCACAGGTCCCCCGGTTTAGTCAGGAACACTTTGACTGGAGAGAATTTTTCAAGACCGAGGAGTTAATACGGTTGGCCGCCCCAAGATAGTCCTGAACCATTCGAGGCTTACGGCTAATATGGTCACCATGGTTGGTTAGACTCATGACGTTTGTGCTAGTTATGGACACTGGCCTTACCACCTGGCACAACACTCCTGCAAAACTCGTCCTTCGCGAACTAGTGATGGCACCTGCGTGTCCCGAGCTGTGTTTTCAGGCAGAGTTAGCTGCCGAATGCGCCGACAAACTCAACGCTTGGCGCTCCTGTTTCCCTTATCGACCCGCTGAGACAATGTACTCGGTCATCCGTGTCTTCTGCAAAGCAAAACTTCCAGATGATACCAAGTTAGGTTTGCCCTATTGTAGCTTACTAAGTCTATGGGCAGTTGTCAAAGGTACGAGGATCTTCATCTGCTACGAGAACCCATTCAACGGCTGACAGAATCCTCTAGCTTTCTATACAATGGTATTCACCTTGGGCACCACCATAGGTCCAGAAGCCCATATGCAACCCATTCTGAATGGCATAGAGAGTTGGAAAATCGTATGGAACCGCCGTCTGAACAACGGTGACGATGACGCGCTCGACGTGCCTCTTCCTGACAATGTTGCGGGCACAATCAGGTCCAGCGCTCGGTTAATCGGGAAATGTCTAGGATTTTGGAGATACGCTGCAGAGTACTGACTCTTAGCTCGTATTCTCCTCATGAGGAAAGCATCTGTTGAATCAGAAGATCGGTCTGCCCGAAATCCGCTTTCAAACACAAATATCGACCCCAGTTGGGTCTTTTGTTCTTCTCCCTTCGACCGGTACGATCAGAATGTATTTCCAAGGCTGGTCCAATTCCTGCAGCGAGAACAGCGTTTTGAAAGAAGCATGAACCAATACTCGCTCTAATGGCCGGCCCTCCGAGTGACAATATGTACTCCGCAACATGCTCAGTAAAAGCTTCACTTGGGAGCCTTGATTGTATCACATTCCTTCCGAAGCTCATTTAATCCACTTCCAAATCTAGCCCTCTCAGAACTGTCACTTGTTGGTTACTGAATAAAAGGGCGACCTATTGAAGCCGACAACTCTCTGGTTGGCGAATGCTGACGGAAAACAAATTGTGCGTCCTCCCCCCCAGAAGAAACGCGCCAGATACAAGTCGGATATGGGGCCATGGGCCATGGTTGAACTCTTGCAAACATGATATGGCTCCTGGATAGCTAGCTACCGGAATACTTCGGGCAAAAACAGCATCCTCCTGATGACGATTAGATCATGTTCCACGCATGAGCAGTCGGTCGGGACAAGCCGATGTTCGGGTCCACCGTAATAAGCCCACAACATGGAGTGATGATTTCAAAGTTGATATAATACTGGATTAAGTTCCTGTTATCTAGGAAGAAAGACTGCAGTTGATTCTCCGTTCACACTGTCCGACCTTAACAACAAGATGACCTGCCAGTCAACTCGTTTCAATGTTGTCATCATTGGGGGAGGCCCGGTTGGGCTACTCACCGTATATTGCCTCCAGCGCATGGGTTTCTCGACGTGCGTCATCGGTCGATTTTATCCCTAAGCTTTTGCTAGAGGCTCCAGAGCTGACAATTTATCCCTCAGAAAGGCTTCACAAGGAGAAGATGCCCATGTACGGACGGGCGGCTTCGCTTTATCCTCGAAGTCTATAGATGCTCGACCAAGTTGAGCTTCTTGAACCGTTTCTTCAGATGGGCCTTGTTGGGCGTAATGGGACAAACTTTGACAGCTCCGGTAAACGGGCGGCCGGAAGAGGGTGGCAGCAGATTTTCTCCTAGTTTCACGGAACATTCTTTGATTATTTTCTCAACATTCGCTTGAAGTACTCGGAAAGTATTATACAAGCTGCCTACCAACGGGGCGGGGGGAACCTGTTGATCGGCTGGGAGTTCAGAGATCTAAAGCCATCTGTAAGCAAAGACGGTACCTGTCGCGTCACGGTACAAGTGGCGCATGTGGACGCTCCGGCGACCGACGAATTAAAATGGTAAGTAATTGGATTTCTTTTGTTATTAACAAGACTCCATGCGAGAGTGCCAAAAAACTAATACAGGCGCAGCAAATATCTTGTGGGTGCCGATGGGGGAATTCTCTCGTGCGTCGCCTCAGTGGCATATCTTTTCCCCAAGATGCAACCGCCTATAATTGGGTGCGAATCGACGGTGTTGTCAAAACGAACGGGCCCGACTCCAGAATCGGCGTGGCTGGCACCGAATCAGTTTCACATGGAAATGTTCTTTGGGTCCTTCTCGACCACTGCAGGACCCGGATCGGTTTTGCTCTGAACAAGGAGATGTACGAAAAGTACGACGACAAAATCACAGAAGAGCAAGCCAAACATAAGGCAACTCAAGCAGTTCTTCCTTTCACTCTAGAGTTCGAGTCCGTTGACTGGTACACGATCTACAGGTATGGGACATCTCAGAGACGGCCGATTTGTCGTTAACCTTTCAGCAGCATCCGACAGGGCGTTGCAGAACAGTACATGATTAATGACTGTGTTCTGTTAGCTGGAGATGCAAGCCACACTCATTCCTCTGGGGCTGCTCAAGTTATGAACACGGGTATTCACGATGCCATCAATCTGTCATGGAAGTTGGAAGGAGTTCTCTCCGGCTGGTTTAAGCCCGAAATCCTGCAAACTTACGACTCGGAGCGCCGACAAATAGCTCGTACGCTCATCGAACATGACAAACAGTATTCGACCTTGATTTCGGGTGACAAGATCGACAAGGTGTTCGAAGGCGACGTCAATCAGTTGCTCGCAAACTTGATACGTAACACTGCGGACTTTGTCCTCGGACTGGGTATCAGCTACGAAGAGAATATTATCAACCTCAGTCCAAATGCTGTGTTCCTTAGCGCGGGCCACCTCCCCGATGACGCACTACTCTACGGCCCTGGACGTAGCGTGCCTGTTCGCCTACAACAGGTGACACTAAACACAGGCGCATTCTGGGTTATCGTCTTCACAGGAAATCCCGAGATTACAAGACCAAGACTCAAAACTTTGCGGCGACACTTGTATTCTCCGTGTACTCTCAGGGACGCTGAACAAACGTGGCGTGGTCAAATACATGACGATAATCAACGGTTGCAAACCCCAGGGTGAGGAAGCAATTGGGATGGCCAGTTTCGGGCTGATCTACTATGACGATCATGCCATTGTCCAAGAGAAGTTCGGCTTCACCGAATCCGAGGGCGGAACAGCTGTGTTACGACCAGATGGCCATCTCGGTTTTGCCACGTCCTTAGATCGAGGTTCCGAAGTCGATGCCTACTTCCGTCAATTTGTAGTTGACCAAAGTCAGCTCGCACCGCTTTCCAAGTCTTGACTGATAGGTTATCACAGGTCGCCCCGAAATATTGAAGAGCAAGCAGAGATATAGCGAAATTGGCGTCTCGGCCATCTTGATTATTGCGTTCTTTCCTATTCTTTCAATAAGAAAAATGAGGTTTAACTTTGAATAATGTCCACGTCCTACAGAGCTCCTGGATGCAGCAGCATGATCCAATAAGTTGTGGGACCATTCACAGCCGCTATCGGTCATGACCTTATCATCTGAACTCGGTACAGCGAGCACACCATGCCTGAGATGCGAAATTCATGCCTTTAAGGTTAAAGGCTGGTAAATACTGGAGCCTCTCCCACAGCACTCATCCGATGGGGCCCGGATGACAGTGTCTGACCTAAGCCAAAGTCATCATTCTGCAGTGTCACTCGACGGGGCTCCAGCATTGCCGGAGCCATATATCTCTACACTAGTATATATATAGTTAGCTAGGCTCGCTAAATTCGGAAAGACTTCAAAGGGAAAGGGCAACTTGGCTCTAGCCAATCAGATAGCGCTGGTAGCCAGTGGGTCCAGGGCTATAACCACGACTACTGACTACAATAGTCCTGAAATCTAGGACTTGGACTAAGAATGGTCAGAATGCAGCCATAGAAGCGCTGCGGTGCTTTGAACTCTGAGAAAAAAAGGAAGAGAAGAGGAAAGCCAAGTACTTTTCTGTCCTTTAAATAGAAGTAACCACTGCAAATAATCCTACGGGCGACATTAACACAATAACTTAAAATGTTTGTACATTACTGTCCATTGTACGCAACAGACAACGCTCCTCATGATGATCATTAATTCAAACCAACATTGATACTTTTCACTTCAGTGAAAGCCTGCATCTCGCTCAAACTTTCTTCCCTGCCCATTCCTGAGTCCTTCATGCCGCCGAAGGTACTCCCTGGAAATGGCGCCCAACCTGGTTGATCCAAATTAACCCTCCGTCGATCCTCCGCGCCACCTTGGGGGCCAGGCAAATGTCTCGCGTAAATATCACAGCTGTGAGCCCCAACGGTGACGAATTAACCTGTTTAATGACGTCGTCGACGTCCTCCCACAGTGTTGACTGGGTTGCAAGATAGTCACTGTGGTAAACCACCTGAGACGCTAGACGCTTCACCAACTGCGCAAACTGCCTCAACCTCGTTGTTCCTGCAGTTCTGTGACAGGATGGCGACGGAGTAGGAGGTTTCAGGAATGCTCTTGTGGTTACAGGCCAATGTATATATAAACAGGCAGAGTCTCTCTGAGTAGCCAGAGGGACAGGACACAATCAACCAGATAGGTCCACAACTCAACCTCTCGTACAACACTACGCTTCAACTGCGCCGCAATGAACGCAGCGGTCAGAAGTGTGTTGGAACCTAAAGTTGGAATCGCCGAGTGCGCGATCTCGGACAGCAGCTGACTGTGACTTTGCTCTCGGGAGGTTGCAGAGTCCAAATGTCGAAGACCTTTCAAATCGTTTGCATACTCCGGTCTAGATAGGTGAATGTTTATCTTTTTGATCGCCGTATATGAATCTGCTTGCCATAGGCCGACAGCGTCAACGTTATACATTGCCATACTCTTTTTCAGCGGGTCGATATGGATGTGATAGGCTTTTGTGGTGGTGACGGTCTGCATTGTACAGGGACAAATGGGACATCACAATCCAAAACCAATGTGAGATCAGTCTTAGAGATGCTAGGGTGGGACGAGTATCTGCCACTGAGCCAGGCTGGGTGATTTGCCGGAAAGCACATATCCCCCATCGAAGTGTCGAGGATCATCAGCCCTGGAATGGAGTCTGCGAGTTTGACAAGTTCGGCCGGGGCTCCAGCATTCCTACCAGAGTAGCAAGTCACAACCAACGGGTTTTAGAAGAAATCAATGCCCCCGAGATCTCTCGGACTGCTTCCTCAGGAAGCGCGGCTGGTCCAATAGGCTTCCAGAGCTTCGACTGTAGCTTCAATGGTTTGGCGTCCCGCTCCAGGGTCTCCCGCACAGCGTAGAGATACACCGGGCCCTGGGGCGCTGACGAGGCAACCTGCAGGGCACGAGCAACCACTTGCTTGACATTGTTGCTGTTCCTAATCTCGTTGACGTATCTGCAGTATTGGCGTACTATTGCTGCCTGGTCGGGAATATCTTGGAGATAATTGACGAATTCGGTTCTCGTACCGCGCTCTTCACCTTCCAATGTCGATGGACATAAATCGGCAAAAATCAGGACAGGAGTTCGAGCAATATGTGCGTTGTGAATGGCACAACCCAACACCTGCGTCCCAACATCAACATGTACAAGCACTGCTTGGGCTTTTCCTGTCGCTCTATGACAAAACGAAGGATAACCTGAGAGTTTCTATTAGAAAAGCTGTCGCGAAGATAGTGCCGCCCTCACGGATAGCAATATCACCACTAGGATACACCACGAAACAGCATCGGAACTAGTCCCCGACAGAATTGGAGACTGAATGAACATCATGACACAAATGATTTCAGGAAACCTGTCCTTAACGAATGCAACCGCAGGCTAGCAAGCGATTCGAGACAACTTTTATGCTGAAACGTCGGAGCTTTAGGTGAAAATGCGATATGGGGCTTCTCATATTTGGAGCCAATATACGCTCCGACCACCGTCAGAGTATGGGCATGACCCGATATCCAGCTAGTCACCAAAAGTTGGATGGGCAGGCCGCTATGCAGAACATGGCTGCAGCTCAAAAAGGTAGTGTGGATACTTCAGGGTATTAAGTCGACGACGCCGCGAAGGCAGACGATCACGCGCAAGGCATGAGGAAAGAAACAGCATCATGAGAAGGAAGAAACGGCTGCCCCGCGAGCGGAAGATCACTGATAGAATAAAACGACAGATAGAGAAGGGGCTGCCGGCAATCAGCCGATGTATGAAGGAGTAGGTGATCATATTCAACGAAACATGACTTACAAGATGATGAGGGGGCGTAAGAGCGGCTTCTGTGTGACCTTTGAGTATCGCTACGGCTGGATCTTACCGCCCGCGCAATATCGCGATACGGAAGTGAACCATCAGCGGTAATGCCTTGAATTAGCGCACCGTCCGAGACTGCGTATGTCGGCGCCATCTGCCATGCATAAATAGTGTTCTCTGTAGATGTTTCCCAGGCCAGTAACCCAATCGGACCCGGTTGGATGGTTAGTACATGATTGGAGGCACAGTCACCAGGCTCACCATCAACGTGGACTTTAGTGTCGCCCGAGTGTTGGACCAATTTTAGGTGAACAATTGGATGATTGATTTGACTGAGAAATCTGTCCGAGTGGGAGTGAGGGTTTAAATACAGGGTACGGCAAGGCATGAGGTGGAAAGTGGGAAGCAGGTTGCCAGCTGTGCCAAGATATATCAAACTAGCCTAAATAGGCTAGCGTAAACCCGCCATCACTTTACTGGGCAAAAGTCTGACACGGGACCCTCTTCCTCATTCTCGTTGCAGTTTCCCGCTCACAACCGAGGCTCAAGCTCCTCGATGGGTCAATGGACCGAACTCAGTTCCGCCGGAGAGCATTGAAATAAGTGCCTCCTCAAGGGCACGATATCATGTTTTCCCTCCAGTTGTAAGCTCAGGTCCAGAGTGCCGCAAATCCCCATTCTCCAACATGAAAGCCATTCAAGTAACGAAATACGTCTCCGGGCCGCAGGACCTCTTTGTGACAACGCTTCCTACACCCGCCCCCCATCCCACGAAATACCTGATCAAGATCCGCGCCAGCGGCACAAACTTCTTCGACCTCCTTCAGATACAGGGCAAATACCAGCATCAACCGCCGTTGCCGTGGATTGCAGGCATGGAGTTTGCGGGCGTCGTCATCGCGACGCCCACCACCGGTGAGGGATCGAAGAGCGCAGTTGCAAGCAGCCGGGATGGCACAGTCAGCACGCAGACGAACCATAAATTCAAAGTCGGGGACAGAGTGTTCGGGGCCACACACGGGGCATATGCAAGTCACATTCTGGCGTCTGAGGACTCGTTGTTTCCCATCCCACATAGGTGGAGCTTTGCCGATGCCGCTGGTGTGTACGTGACAACTCCTACAGCGTACGGCGCCTTGGTTGTGCGTGCGAATGTTCAGCCGGGTGAGTGGGTGCTCGTCCATGCCGGAGCTGGAGGCGTTGGGCTGTCGGCCGTACAAGTTGCAAAAGCTCTAGGAGCGACCGTCGTTGCCACGGCTGGTTCGGAGCGCAAGAGACAGGTCTGCTTGGATTATGGGGCGGACTATGTGGTGGACTACCGAGATAAAAACTGGCCGCAGAGAGTCATTGGGCTGTGTGAGCAGCACAGAACAGGCAATGGAAAGCAAGGAGTGGACGTAGTGTATGATCCAGTTGGTAAGTGGTCACATATCTCGGTGCCTCTGGTCAGTCTAACAAGTACCGCAGGCATGATTGACCCCTCAATCAAATGCATAGCATGGAACGGCCGACTCCTCGTTATCGGATTTGCCGGGGGCACTATCGAGAAAGTTGCCATGAATCGAGTCCTTCTGAAGAACATCAGTATCGTGGGTCTCCACTGGGGCGCATATGCCCTGAAAGAGCGGGAAACAATTCCCAAAGTCTGGGAAGGAATTTTCGATCTGATCAACTCGGGCAAATTGAGGGGCATCACCTATACTGACAAGCACTACAAGGGTTTAGAATCGGTTCCTCAAGCATTGATTGCTTTGGGTGCGCGAGATACATGGGGGAAGGTCGTGGTGGAGCTGGGAGAAAACGAGGGGGAGGAAGGCAAGAGCAAACTATGACAAGCTCCAGAGGCATGATTCGGGTTGTCAAGGAATGGATTGGGTTACCAGTTAGAATGCCATGGCGTTCTCAAATGACTTTTGTGGAGCTCCCGGCAGAGGCTCTGTGCATGTGTCAGGGTGGTGCGCAGTCAACGCTTCATTGAAGAGCAATTGCTTCAATCTCGACGTCGACGCCCTTGGGTAGTTCCCGTACAGCAACGCAAGTCCTTGCCGGTTTGTGCGAGAAGTACTTCTCATACACGGCGTTCATCTCACCGAAGTACTTCATATCGGACAGGAAGACCTAGATGAGTCTGATCAGCTCTCCGAGTTCACTCGCTCCCCGCGGAACGATAGCACTCACCCCAGCCCTGACGACCTTGCCCATTTCACTTCCCGCAGCCTCCAGAATAGCCTTGATGTTCTTGCAACACTGCTCGGTCTTGTCCGCAATAGACCCCTCCACCAGCTTTCCAGTCGAGTCTGCGGGGATCTGTCCCGCTACCCAAATCTGGCCGGCCGCTTTGATTGCCTGGCTATACGGACCGGCAGCTGATAAGAGAGATGATGGTCAGTTCGAAATCCGAATCTCGCCAAATGTCCACATGGGCGCTGGGTCTTACGAGGGCAGGCATCTTTGGAAAAAACAGGAGTCAAGCCGGACGACATGTTGGCGGGGTAGATTCGGAAATGGCGATACTGCTGTTGACGAAGGAGCGAACCTGAGCGGGAAGATTTAATATACCGTGGGAAATGGCTCAGACGAGAAGATACGCTTCGACAGGGCGTTGACATGGGAAATGGGTGAGAAGTCCGCAAGGGCGCGATGTTCTGTCAGTTGTAACTCTACTCTGCAGTTTCTTCAATTACACCAGTAAAGTCGTTGCCGGAAATCCGCCTTCGGTTTAGGCGGTCCTGCCGCTTCGGGCATAGTCGCGGGCTGGGCGCGCTGCCGCTTTTGACAGCTAAGAGAACCTCGTCTCCCATCCCTCTCCCACTCTCTTGTAACCTATTTTTTTTTCTCTCTTTAACCATCTCCGTTCACCCTGATGCACTCTATCGTACTTCACTTCGACACCGTCTAAATTCTTCTCTCTGCCGCATTAGGACCCTCATCGTCGATTTCTCTCACCAGCTCCCTCAAAATTTACCTCGTTGCCTAAATTCTTTCCCACCGTATTAGGCTCCCTTCGATTCTTCTTTCCGACTCCTTGGATATCTACCTCGTCTCTTCGAGTGCCCCCGGATTAGCCTCTTAATCCTCAATCTTTGCGGCCCCTTCTGGACTTTTGAGGAGGACCCGTTTCGACCTCCTTATATGCCTAATCCCTTTATGGCGTGTTTAACGTCGCTGGCTGTACGTCATCGTGTAGACTTAGCTAACCCCGCCTGTTCCTCATGCCTGGACAAGAGTTCCAAGAATATAGATTCAGGCCTCGATAAGTCTTATTATACTGTAACAAGGCAAAGTGTCCTATTCGCTTGTCTTGCAACAGGTCACAATTTCAACTCTGAGTTTGGCCACGTAAGAAGATCACAGAGAGTATTTGAACAGGGGTGATTTGTCACCCATCTGACCCAGTTCTTCCACCGAATATCTTGCCATGATGTCTTCTTTCGAAACCGCTGCCCATTTCTTGTTATGTCGGGCGTAGAGAAATTCAAGCAGCAGCGCGCACACAATACCGGCAGCCCCGAAAGCCAGCGAGGTGCCAAAGCCGGTTGGATACCGAGGTGCTTCGCTCTGCTTGAAGATCCAGCTTCCGATGAAACCGCCGGTATTCCCCATGGTGACCATGAATGCAATACCCATCACACGTTTTTCTGCGCCGGCGAGATTGTTGACCGTCCACGCATTGCAAGCGGGCACGATAGGATAAACGCCGACGCAGGCCAGGACCACCATGGTGTAACAGAGCGCCACATTCGAAGTGATTTTGGGTGCGAAGCTGAAGAGTACAGACATGGAGATGACGACCAGAGCTTGGAAGAAAACGATGATCGGCATTCGGCGTGCGTGCTTGTCTGCCCACAGTGACGACAGGACAGCGGCGATGGCGCCCGCAAAGTATGGAGGCGCACTGAGTAATTGTGCGTTTGTCGAGCGAAAACCCATATTCTTGATAATCGTGGGCATGGTGAACTTGAGTCCGTTGTTGGGGACGGTGTTCGAAGCGCAGACCATAGCCTGCAAGTAGATGTGCGGGTCCCCAATGAGCTGTCTGAAGTACTTCCACCGGAATCGCTTGGTAGATTCACTGCTTTCGACCTCGGGTTTGTTGACCCCACGAGTGACAAAGTGCATAAGATGCAAGTAACGCTGTTCGTCCTCCTTCAACCAGCGTCCCGAGAGAGTGGGCGAGTCGGGCAACAGGAAGAACGACGTGACGCCGAAGCAGACCGAAAGGATGCCCTCGATGATGAAGATCCATCGCCAACCTCGAAGACCGCCGAGGCCGTTCATCTGAGCAATCCCAGCAGCCAATAGTCCGGAAAAAGCTCCCGACGCGGCACTGGACACGTAGAATAATGCGTTGCGACTTTGTGTCTTGTTCGGGGGATACCTGAAGCGTCATGTCAACACATGTCTTGGTTCTCCGTGGCGTGGGAACGTTTATTTCAAATACATACCACTGACTGATCAGCCATACAGCCCCTGGGAAAAATCCTGCCTCGAAGATGCCGATCAAGAAACGGGTGATGCAGAGGCCAGCAAAGCTCTGGACGATGCCGGACAGGGTGACGATGGTACCCCAGCAGGTGACCAGAATGCCAATATAGTAGCTTGGACGTTTGAACTTGGCCAAGATCATGTTGCTGGGCACTTCGCAGAGGATGTACGGGATGAAAAACAGAGCCACAGCAATGTTGTAGTCATCCCCTTGCATTCCCAGACTGTCCTCGAGACCCTCAATCTTGGCATTGCCTGCATGTCGGTCGATTGAATGAGCAACCGCTCCATGAAAAAGGGGGGGGGAAGGCCCACCAATATTCGCACGGTCGAGGTGCGAGATCAGATAGAGGAACGACAGCATGGGCACCACGCGATAGTCCACTTTGCGATAGATGCTGCGCTCTTTCGCCGGGCTGACGCTGGCGAGGAAAAGCGCATCATCCTCGCCGAGGCCGAGCTGCCGGTATTCGGCCAGTTTGGACGATTTCTCGCCATCCTCCAGGTGTTCGAGGCAGACTTCCGCTTCCTTGGAGTCAGGACCTAGCTTGTGTTCTAGCTCGCCTCCGGCGTGTCGGTGCGTCTCTGCTGAATAGACGCCAGCCGCGACGGGCACCCCAGAGGCTGGAGTCGCAGCTGGAGTCGCAGGTTGGTCCATACTGAGCGGAATCAATCGCTTGGGCCAGGCTTGGAAGAAGATGGGAGTCCAAGGAGTGACGAATGGGTCGCCGGCTTCCGATTCTGGGACACTCAACCAAATGTGACGGAGGACATGGATAACAACGCTTTTTCTTTGCCCCTTTATACAATACACTGATCCAGTACACCACGGGTTGGAAACCCCGGAATTCGACCTCAAGCGGCTAGCGCAGATCTTCCCCAGCTTCCACGCAGCGAGACCGCTTTCTTAGACTGCTTTTATGTTCCCGCAAAATCCGCGGCATACATTGCGGCATTCCTCGTATTTGAAACCAGCCGCGGATTACTTTTGCTATCATCTAGTTGGCGCGTGGCTGCAAGTGGGAATCCTACCTTTTTGCTTGCACAACGGTGGCGAATTATCTGCAGCGCTGTCCCAGCTCTAGGTATGTAAACGGAGAAAATACGATAAGTCTACTCGTACACGAGACCCAATGCGCCCGACTCCTAAGTGCTCTTGTTCTCGGTACAGCGAAGACTGTGCGTCTGACACAGGCGAGATTCATTACAAACTTATTCGAGGTTCAAAAAATGGCCAGTCCGTAGTCAGAAACTCTTCGGGTAGCCCTAGTCCAAACAAGAAACCATTAGGATCGGGAAAGTTCATGTTGGCAAGCATGTGATCCGATCCAAGGTGTTCGAGTGCCGGCAAAGCTGCGTGAGGAGCATCTGGTTCTCGATGCACCTGAGGATACACCGCATCAGTCGCCATACCGTTGGGAGTTTCGGACTCGACCGTGTCGGAAGACCGCATGTCTTCGTTCTCGCCCGCAGAACGGTAATACCGCTCCAAAAGCATGACATAGCGTCGCGCCAAAGATCCATGCTCGCTGACCGAGCGAAGGAAAGCCATACCGGACTTGACGATGACAGTGTCTTGAGCCGTTGACGCCTCATCATAGGAGCAAAGGCCCAGCATCTGTGCAGTCAACAGGACTCCAAGTGAACAGAACACATCTGCTGAACGTTAGTTGTGAGCAACCACAGAATGCGACGCAGTACGGACAGTGAAGAAGGTACCACACCGAATGGAGTAACTGCTTATGGTATAGCAAAGAGATTTCTTGGATGGTTTCTCTTGCCATGGCGATGCATCGCTGGGCGCAGGCCGTTGCGAGAGCTTTGAGGTAGTCGTCGGGGAAGTCATTTTTGGCAAGTAGAATCATGGACGGTCGTTGGAGCAGGAGCCTCATCTGGAGGTATCGGAGGTAGATGACATGGCGTTGCCGTTGAGCATCGATCCCATCCGAGATCTCCGGCGTGATCTTGAGATGAGATGGTACATTGTCCCACCAAGTTTGTAATTGTCCATCTAGGAGGACGATGTTACCGAGGACGGCATATTGCTCCTTTATATTTCCCGATTCTTCTGATTTTCTAGCCGCTTTGCCCTGTTTCAGATAGAGCATTGACAGGATTTTGTCAATCACGAAAGACAATTTGATGGTCTGAACAAATGTACAAAGTTTTGAAGGCTTGTTGCTGGGCTGCCGTGGCACACGGACCGAGTCGACAATGTATTGATCGTCGACCTCCGATGGGAAATCCACATCAAGGGCATTGGCGAGGATGATTGATGGCGGTCGTCCAAATTTCATACTGAGCGTCCTATCCAGGACAAAACACCCCCACCAGAGACGCTTCCTCGCTTCGCGGACTGTGGGTGACAGTGTGTGGTCGTTCATGGGGTCGATATGGAGGCCAATACTCATTGCACTCCTAATGGTCAGCCCAAAGAAGTTCCAGCATTCATTCAACTTCAGCGCGCCTTGAAGGTAATGGCAGAGCAGCAGCATCCCTTGGGTCAAGTGCAAATTGAAGTCCTCGAAGACGTGTGAGAGGATAATGCTCTTGGCGCGTCCAACATAAGGTGAAGCGCGCTCCGAGCAGTCCAGTTCCCCGTTTGATGAATTGAATTCGCATCCATACGCGAAAACCATATTGGCCACTGCCAGCCAGGCCACTTCGCACGACGTTCGGTCCGCCCACAGACACTCATACTGATTTCGAAAAGTGGGTTCATGGATGAATGGGTACAGGAGATGTACCCGCTCGAAGTAAGCATCCACGAGATCATCGGCATGCTTCCTGGGCGGCAGCATGTCATATCTGCGCCTTTCTCCAGGGGTTAAAGATGCAATATTCGTGGCGCTTTCCTGGACGCTGACAGTCTGCAAGCAGACTACGGTGTGAGGAGGTTCAACCAAGCTGCAACGACGTATCCTTACCGAGTCACTGTCCAGATTCGTCATAGCCTGTTGCCGGAGCTCGTCTCGCACCCCAGAAACGAACTTGAAAGCAGACGAATCGCCAAAATATCCGCTTGGCTCATTTGCAGGGTTCGCCATTAATTCTGCTGAAGTCTCTCGGCCATGGACGGGAGTGCTCAGGCAGTGATTGTAGAGCATTGAGTCGGGCGACCCAGAGACAGTGCCTCGCACATTCGGGCTATGGTCTTGAGGAGTAGCCAGTGATGACACTTCGTTGACTGGATTCGTACGCCGGCCGGAGCTGAGAGTAGAAGCATTGCGAATTGCTGATTTGTCGAGGCTTGCATTTTTCCTAAATGAATCATCAGCAACAAGGCACGTCCAGCCAATGAACCATTCGCCTTCAACATACTTGCTGAGATATGTGCAGAAGAGGCCTCGACTCAGGCAGCCTGAACACTGTGGCTTGAGGCCATCGCACCGATGTTTCTTCTGACGACAATTGCTGCATGCCCTGCCAAACCCCAGTCTCCTGACTTTCGCGATTCTAGCCCCGTCCCCAGACATTGCGGACAGCGTGGAGAAAGTCGAACAGGACGCTGGACCGCGGGATTCTTATATTGCCGCGGGGACCTAGGATGGGTGGCTGACTTGGCAAAACCTGGCCTCGCCGATTCGTGCCGGGACCAAGTCCAGTATCAAATTTAGTAGGAAGTCGAACCGTAAGAAAACCGCCGAGCGACCGCAACAGCGAAGCCAAGTGATGATCATGTAAACCCCCAATTGCGGGTTCGTCTGCGAAACCAATAATGTACGCGGTTCCCATCACACTCGGACACAACTCTAAGCGCTCTCGAGTTGGACCGGAGCCGATATCTGTTTCTGTCCGCATGTATGGCAATTCGATAGACAGCGCGAACTTAATCACTGGGCAGCGAGGAGTCGAGAACCAGACGTATGTACATAGCTCACCACACACACGACGCGGACCTTCCGATCGCGAGGACTGCTCAACGTGACTGCCGCAGAGTGAAGTATGGTGAACCACCCGATTCAGCACCGTATAGACTCGTGGGAGAATCGAAGATACTGTATCCAAGACCCTCGTCTCGTTAACCCTGCCAATATGGCCAAAGCTACTGAGACCGGATCTTAGATCGAATTAGACGGGGCGACCCATCACGCTGTTGGCCTGGCTTGAACCGACCTATGTCGCACATCCCCCTCGGAATACAAAAATTCCGAATAGGCGGAGCTGATGAACCCGGCGTGGAAGCGGGAGGCAGCACTTGGGGATGCAATTTTGTCGTCTGCACATAAAATTCTTGAGTCGCCGCGTGGCCGCGTCCCAAATGCGGTTCTTCTAGCACCAGCAGACTTTGTACATCTTTGTACCTAGATAAAATGGTGCTACCCTTGACACTCGCGTGCTGGGACTACGATAGAGTGAAGGCGTTGGAGGATGGAAGGGTACGGCCAGAGGGTATCGCGCTCACCTTCCTCAACTACCGTGTGGAAGAGACGTAAGTGACGGAGGAATTGGAGGCTACGCTGGCCTCTTCGACTCACTGACAGATTACCAGATTCTTCAGACAACTTCGTTTCCAGGAGTTCGATGTCTCAGAGCTCTCGCTCTCATCCTATGTCTTGACCTTGAATCAAGATAATCCACCTTTTATTGCTTTGCCGATCTTTCCCTCGAGGTTCTTTAGGCATCAATCAATGTACATCAACACCAATTCCGGTATCAAGAAACCATCAGATCTTAAAGGAAAGCGAATTGGGATACCGGAATATCAAAGTTGGGCTTCTCGAATCCTCACCAAGACTCGTGATTCTAATGAAAGCTAGTGACGGCCGCAGTCTGGCAACGCGGGATCATGGCAGAGGAGTTCGGAGTTCCCATCACTGAAGTTCAGTTTTTCACCGGCGCTATTGAGCCCTCATTCAACGAACGAAAGAGCAAAGTGCCTCACTCCTTGCCGCCAGGTGTGAAAGTGGAGTCCATCAAACCGGGCCAAAACCTGTCGCAGATGCTTCAAGACGGCGAGATCGATGTCATTTTCAGCGCATCAAAGCCCTCCAGCGTTGATCGCTGTTCCCATTGCACCTATCTATTCGAAGATTTCAAGACGGTGGAAGCAGATTACTACAAACGGACCAAAATCTTCCCTATCATGCATGTCATCGCAATTAAGCGGGCCGTTTACGACGCCAACCCCTGGATTGCGCGAACACTCCAGAAAGCCTTTGCCAAATCATTGGACATGGCCAAGGAAGCCTTGGAAGAGAGATCTGCGCTGCGTTATATGCTGCCGTTCCTCGAAGACCACATGAGGGAAACTAAGCGCATCATGGGCGACGATGCCTGGAGAGATGGTTTTCATGAGAACAAGCACGTCATCGAGAAGTTCTTACAGTATTCCTATGATCAGGGGCTGGCTGCTGTGCCATACAACGCTGAAGATTTGTTTGCTCCCAACACTCTCGAACAGTTCGTGCTGTGAGAGAGCAGTTATCGACTGTCAGTCTTTTGAGAGACTCGACTGGGGTGCTCATGGTTGCGTGCGGCTGAGTCTTTTCACGAGCCTCCATCACGCACAGATATGGATAGAAGCATCTCGTCGAGCATATATACCAATTTCCTTCAGATTGATCGTCTAGACCTAGCTTCAGAAGCCCTCTAACAGTCCCATTCATCCTCCAAACACCCATTCAGAACTCGCACACCTCCAGCAGGCATGCGAAGACATTAGCATATTTGCAATGAGCTCATAGAATAGGTATGCACAGCAAGTTCTCATTGGCTAGCTTTAGGATACTGTTCTCAAAATGCCTCGTTTCTGCGTCGGACGGTCTCGACCGATGCTGCTCCGTTGTACGAGTACCTCTTAGGACCCTGAAGGGATCACTTCGCATATGGCAAACATCATCTATCCCCTGAGTGCGGGTAGTGCGGGTTCCAGGCAGCGCTCGGGCATGTAAGAGGATTTGATGCCGATCCAATCCTAGATATATGATTCGCTCTCTGCGCTGCTAAAATGGTCGTCCGGGCACCGCAAGCATTTCCCTCATCTCCGACATTGGTGGTCAAGGGGGCGGTCGGCTGGCATTTTGCTCCCGCCAAGGATGCACCGACACTCTCGCGCGGCCATCGAGAAACCCGAACCGCGGAATGTCAATCAGGGATTTTTGATCTTGGCTCTCGAATGACATCTTCAATTTACGCTCAGAACATGTTGCAGAAGAGGTTAAAAGGTCATCGGGGTCCATTTTTGGCAAAGATGCATTGCTTACCAGCCCTACAAGGGTCGAATTCGCAACGCTCATCGAAATGGTCTCTTTCACAACATTCCTTGTTATTCTAGCACTCCTTGGTCTTGTACTACAGTTCGTCTTGAACAAATGGCGTAAGGAGCCTGCGTTGGATCACATACCAACTCAGCAATTTCCCGACGGTGACAATTCCCGTGCTCGATACCTGACAGATTTGAGATACCTCCTTGAGTTAGGCTATCGTAGGTACAACAAAGCCGGCAAAGCCTTTAAGATCACGATCCCCATCGGAGGATATGCTGTGAAGTACCGAGTCATTCTTCCAAAGGACCACCTGGAGGAAATCAAGCATCTTTCCAATGATGTCTTCAGCTGGCAGCTCGCATCCCGAATCATTTTCGCGCAAGACTACACTGGTGCGCCTGACCGTGGGAAATGGTCTGGTAAGGCACTTCGTGTGGGTATTCACCAGAATCTCGGCGACATCACGACACAACTGGACAAGAGAATTGTCGAGTATTTCAGTTCACACCTCTCACAACAGAAAGGCAGTGTAAACGCCCTCAATATGATGAGTTTCTTCATTCCGACAATCACCTACGTCACCAATGCTTTGCTGGTCGACTCAAGACTTTCTTCCGATCCAGAATGGCTACGACAAACGGCTGACTTCGCGGTCAATCGCTATGGGGCTGCGGACGACGTGCGCAAATGGCCCCCGTACCTTGCAAACATAGTAGCGCCCTTCATTCCCTCAGTCCGGAGACTTCGAGCGCAACGAGAATATGTAATGGAGAAAATGAAGCCGATCTATGAGGAGCTCAAAGCTGATGGGCAACTACGGGTCGACGACAAGAAACTTCGCCGGAAAGGTACGTTTGGATATGAGTGGCTCTGGGGCGGAACACCGGACGACGTGACCCTGAGGGACTTTTCGGATACGATGATGAGGACCATGATCGCCGCCATCCATACGACCGCTAAGACCATCAGCGTGGCCCTCATCGATCTTCTGACCAACCCAGAGATGGTCGAAGAGCTGAAGAACGAAGCCCAAGAAGCTGTGTCGCCAGATCATGCCTCGGTGAACCTGGACAAGCTCATCAAACTGGATTGTTTTCTCAAGGAGTCTCAGAGGCTTAGTCCCGTCTTTCTCTGTAAGTTTCGTCCACGGTGTTGGGCTTGATGTTGCAGAACTAACCGACACCGTAGTTACTATGAATCGCGTCGTGACTCAGGATTATGAGTTCAAATGCTCCGGTCTTCGTCTGCCGAAGGGAACCATGGTTACAGGTCCTGCAGCTGCGATTGCTACCGATCCTGACGTATTCAGAGATCCCGGCACATTTGACGGACACCGATACTATCGAATGCGTGAAGAAGCCAAGGACTCGGCAAGTAGTCTGGTTCTCGGCATGTCGACCATTGACTCATTGGGCTTTGGACTCGGCAACCAGGCCTGTCCTGGCAGGTTTCTGGCGGTCAACAATCTGAAGCTCATGATTGCCAGACTCTTGACGGGCTGGGAACTCTCTTTGGAGAGCCATGGACGAGAGTACAAGGGACCACGACCCGTCATGGCATACAATGATTTCTCCGTTGTTCCACCAAGTGAATACAACTTGCGGTTAAGGAAACTCTAGATAAAGAATGTCTTTTGTTCATCACCCCAATGGTAGTCTAGCTATAGACGACAAAAATGTCCTTGACGGAGCTGTACGCAGACCGATCGAGTTGGATCTAGGGTGAAATCTGGAACAACGGAGCTGTGGAGACCGACAATGATATACTTGTCTATGGGGATAAAGATAAAAGCTAGCCGCAGTAAAGTGGCTTATAGTGTAACGGAGCACTTCAGGGTTCGGCATGCACGTGCGACAACGCACAGAGGTTTGTCCAGCAGGTTGGGAATCGAGAACGCGTTTCTAGTTGACGCTGACAGGGCAACACCACCACCAACACGACCCCCAGAGAGGCAGCTGCTAGCAGCGACCACCTAGCACGGCAACGGCATTGAGAAGTAGGAAAGGGCCGATGAAACACTTGGGAATAGGTAGACGACATCAAGAACATGGAATACTCTGTCAAATCTGTAAAGAATAGCACACTGCCAGCACTCTGAACTATTCAGCACTTCCCCTTAGCCCATTTTGTTTTGACCTGTGACTAGACAACTCTCCATCCTGCACCCCCCCTACCATCCCAGCGCAGCCACTTTGCCTTGTTACAATAGAGCAGCGAAGCTGTAGTACTCGTAACAATTTCACCAGGATCGATCATCCATTTCACAT